CTTTAGTTATAAATCACAATGATATCCGTTGATTTCTTTCAGAAATATTTCCATTCATTAAATTGTCTTAATAATATAACAAGTTGTTTGTAAAACACGATCTAAAAGGAATATTGAAGTATAGGGGTTAAAAACTGAACTCCTGCGTCGTACGTAGAAATATACGATTACAGACCGTATATCACTAAATATATGAGCTACTTCCTTATTGCATTTTTGCAGGATTAAATGGAAGAATAACGATGACATCTATCTTAAAATAGATAGAATGAAGCAATCCCTTGGTAATTAGCTACATCGCCTTTCACATTTTAATCCCATAGGAATTGTGCTAATAACTTTTGTAAATAATATTCTATCGGATTCGTATGTTAGAAAAACATGTTTTTCTTAAATACATAAAGTTCATTCACTTTTTTGAATTCAATCAACAACATACTTTTAGTAATTCATACATATAGAATCGAATGTCATAATCGGAAAGAGTAGGATAAAGTTGCTAAATAAAATATAAATATTTGTTGATTATATTTTATACCAAAATTTTTCATTACTTTAAAGTCAGTATTATTGACATATTCAAAAATAAGAGCAGGTGTTCTTGACTATAATACAAAGTAAAAAAAAGCCAAATAAATTTTCAAAGAAAAAACAAATATATATTTATATATATAAACATACAACAGGATCTTTGACAATATCAAGCAACGTAATAACATTAGGTCCACCACGTAAATTTTCTAAAATTTTTATTTCACGTTTGATTTTCTTTTTTTTAACTGGCTAAAAAAACAAAAAAACACGACGTAAAACTTATTTACTTTTTTTTTCTTTTTTTTCTATTTATTTACTTTGAGAATTTTGATAACAACTTTTTCATTATTTGTTATATTGATACCTTCAAATACTTCACTGTATTTTCCACGACCAAGTTTACGTACGATCTGATAATCATCTTGATTGCTGACAACAAACAAAGAAAAATTTATGAATTATGTTGTTGTTTTTTATTATCATTATATGAATACATACCCCCACTCGACAACATGCAGCTCGTAGTCGTAGTATTCGCTAAATAAAAATTCATTTATTAAAAATATAAAATATTGAAAATCTTCTTATTACCGTGGTCGATGCGTATTGCAATCGGCGTAAACGCGAGCACGACTCGGTTGCGCCATATGAAATTGAACGGTGATAACAGCAAACCAGAATAGTTGAAGAAAAAAAAATCGACAAATGATCTATAAGAAAATTTATTTTTTATTACTACAAAGATAAATATATATCAAAAGATACTGATATCAAGCAAAAGAATAGTGTTTAGCAAAAAAAAAGATATACCACGCACATGCAAAAGATATGCTTATGTTGTGTTGAATTGATTCTATTTCATAGGCACTACAAAAGAAAGAAAAAAAACTTACTCTAAACTGAGAAGACACTTTGTTTTAATAAGTGTGGAATTTATTCAAAAAGAAAAAAAAAGATTTCATTTCTTTTTCATGACTTTAGGCATGCTTATGTGTACCTGTTTGAGTAAGATAGATAACTGACCCCTTTTAACCATTATTGTCGGATGATATCCTCTTGTGAGTTTTTTATTGAAATAATAATAATTTTATGAGATAGAAAATTTTATTTAGAAATAATTTTTTGAAAAGTTTATTCATTGCGTCTTCTCAAAACGAGAATTATTAAATAGATGTCACTAGTGGTTGAACACACAGATTTCGTATAATGAAGATTATTTCTGTCCATTTCTTCGTTATCTCACTTAAATTATGTGACTAAAAGTAAAATCGTAATCGATTGATATGAAGAAGATTTTCAACATGTGTTGATTTGCAACAAAGATATTTAATACGTCAACGATGTTTCTAAACTAACGCGATGTAAATGAAAGAACTTTCTTTTATCCAGGCATTGCAATGATACCACTGAATATACATGAAATTTCGTAATAGAAAGAATTTTTGAGTACACGCTGTGATATTTATATCATAGATGTCCATCACGATTGAGAATCTGCCGCTGCCGCTGTCGCAATGGTTTTCAAAAAAATCTTTCGAAAATCCCTGCTATCACTGTACTGAACTAGAACTATTGGTATGATGAATCTATGAGATTCATCTAGTCTCTGCATGTTACACTTATGGACACCTGAATCCGATGCAAGTTTATGAATTTTTGCCATGTCTTCTAAAAAGAACCTGGCGCTTCCGTGATTGTATTTTTTGAACATTGTCGAAAACATTTTTTCCATGAAGATACCATTTAATCGGTAGTGAACTCGAAAATAGTACGAAACGTAGTTTTGAGATTTTCACTTCTGAAGTTTGCTGAATGTATTTGATGATTTATTGGACTCTTGTTGAACTGTGTATAAATTTCTCTCGTTCATTTTGTTTCTATATTATTTTAAAATATATTAATCATTACTTTTCAATTATCTACAAAATATACTTCGTCAAAGATAATAAATATCATACAGAATCAGATATTCACTTGTATAGCTTTATCAATAAACATTTAAACTGTTTGCTATTTTAATGATTGTGTTCATTCGAATATTTTCATTTGCATTATAACGATAATACGAACGAACAATTGTATCTAAATCATCGTTTAATGCATGGAATGTCTATGGTTAGTCGTTGTTATTTACAAAAGAAAAGGAATCCTGAATATTATTCAAAAATGTAATAATAAATAATAAAATGATATCAATTGTATATTTTCTAGAACTGTAAATTTTGGCATTTTGAAATCATATATTGACATTTATTAATTTTCATTAGTATTTAGAACATTAATATAAATTTCTAATTAAAGTTGTTTGAAATAATACAACTTATGATGATATTATTTTACATGACAAAAAGCAACATGAACTGCTGATGTCTAATGGAGATGATTTTTTTTTATATGAATAATGTGAAAAAGAAAAACATGAGTTTATGATGATACAAAATGTTAGCAATAAACATTTCAAAATAAAATAGAGCAATTGATATATCTGTCGATGAAAGAATAAGTGATGAGTGAATTTAAGCAAGTTGTTACAAAGAATTTGTGTAGGATTAAACGTACAATATCCAGTGACATTGAGACTAGAACGATTTAATTATTAAGTGATTCTATTAGAGAAAACATACAATATACTATATCAATTATATTTATGTCATGGTCCATTCTCTTGAAGATGTCTCAAGTATACAAGAATTTTGGAAAACACGTGCACATACTGAAAAACACAGTCTTGTGAGCGCTTAACCGCGTTTGGAAAAAGGTGGTCGTGTAAAAGCTAAAAGGCTTACACTGGAAGCGTATACACGCATACAACTTTAATGTCGATTGTTCTTTGTCATCTACACTTGCAAAATGTTCATATTATAAGTGTTTTTTACGTTCAGTTTGTCTCATACACATATAAACGGTCTCAAATTTGGAAATTAATACGTGTTCTTCTAAACATTTTATCATCATGACTGAAAAACTAATTAATAGTCATATTAACGCTCTGAAAGAGACTTTTTTTGTTCGTTTTTGAAAATAGTATTGTTATCCCTAGTTTCACTTGAAATTTCCAATGTTTTAACCATCAAAAACAGGAACATTTGAATATATTAAGAAATGATAATATTTTGCATTCACTTCATTCTGAGAGTTTTAAATTTTTAACTCCTTTTTAAATAAATGAAATCTTTTTTTAAAATCATGCAATTAAAATTTTTATACTATTAAAATGTTTGATTCTTTATGGTTTTGTGTACATTCAAAAAATGCTCTTTTATAATTGAAAAACATACATAGACTATGATAGGTATTGTTAACCAATCAGTTGGTGTCTCAGATATTTCTTTATTCTAGTCATATAGTTCATCGTCATAGTATTGTGTAATATAGCAATCAATCAATTAATAAAGACTATCGGGAAAGTGAAGATGTACTTTGTTTCATTATTATCTCTCGAGTTTTTAATACTAAAAAGAAAACGTGCAAGATGTGTCGTTAGTTCTATCTCATTGTATCAAATTTTTTCTAATTTTTTTTTTCTTCAGACCCATGTTCATAGAATTTTTCTTATCTCTATCAAATAACTCACCTGCTTTACTCAGTTTTCTGCTGTACTTATGATTATAATTATCGACTGTGAAAGCATGAATGAAAAGAAGAGATTACAAAGGCAACATTCTCGTGTTTGAAATTAAATCTATTTGTCTTTTTCTCTCTTATTGCAAATCTCTCTTGTTCTGTCATAGCTAAATTTTACTCTTTCTCAACCAGAATGATAAACGTATAACAATATGAAACTTAATAATCTTTTTCCTTTTGTCTTGTTATGTGATGAACGTCATTAGTTTTGAACTTTGATATATTGCTACAACCTATTCGCTTCATTTCCTATTTTTAGAATTTGTTTTATTTCGTCTGTTTCACTCTCAATCTATTTTATTATTTTTTTGTTACTGAATATCTTCTGTATTGTATTTTCTTATTTTTTTAATCTTATTGAACGTATTCTTTCATGGATGCTTTTGTGTTTCGATACGAGGACAACTAAATATTTGTTGTCGGCGCCAGAATTAAGTGTGGGTTGGTATGGGACAAATATCTCGAGAGCAGCAATAGCTATCGATCTGCAGCTTTCACGAATCGAAAGATGCTGAGTTAGGACATGCTTTGATATAATATTATGCATGGTGAAATCATTTCACATCATTTGATGGAGTGTGAGCTGCTGATCACGAAAAACAACTTTTTACCTTACGCAAATATCTTTTTCAGGTCGAAAAATATGCAACATTTGAGGGATGTCGGATTTTTCAAAAAACACATTTTTTCCAAAATATGCCTTATATTTTGCTTCGTGTTTCTCTCATGCTTCTACAAATATTTTTTTCAGATTCTGCATGTAAAACTGGGTCTAGGCGAGTTACCAAATCGACTTCAGACTCAAAACTCTATGGGTAGCGGCGTTCCGACTCTCATTGAGTGTACTACGTCCAGATAGACTTTGTAAAGCTATCTACTTTTTCCACGTAACTAAAGGAAGCAAATATTTTATCTCATTCGATTCATCATACCACCCCTCACAAAGCTAGAGATCGGTTTTTCTCGTTTTCGTTCCTGTATTGTGAAAAACCGGTTTTACTGGTATCATACCGATTTTAGGTAGTATTCAACGGTTTTTGGATTCAAATAAGACATTTGGGTAAAAACTAAACACAGATTCTGAATCAGCATAAAAAAACCGAGTCGAATGAAGTATCTTTCAAACTCACTTGACAACTTTCATTTTTTTGCCTCACACACAAAAATTCTCCCTCACCTAGCACGCCTGAAAAAATGATGAGAACCCATGTCGAACAATCCCGCAAGGAAATGGTCCGTTCTGGAGTTTTCCGCGAATTTCATGGAAGCAGTATTCTGCCACGGAATTTGCCGGATTTTTCTGCGTACTTTCCTGCCATATACAGCCGGAAAAGGAGGGAAAATCCAGGGACAAATTCGATCGTTTCCATTTCTAATCCGGATCGTCGCTTCCTGCACGGAAACGATTCCAACTTACTTGATTTCCGTCACATTTTGCAAGTAAAATTTCCGTGAAGCTTCCTACCCAAGTTTACCACCTAGTTCGGTCTATTTCTGAGCTCAGAAGTGTACCCACAACGATAATTCGGGTCTCCTAAAACGATTAGAACTGCCCGGAAGCCTCAGGAAAAATCATCGCTTCCTGCAAGAAAAGACATGGAAATCACTGAAAATAAAAGCACTATTCCAAGCCCGAAACTTGTGGTACTTTTCCGGCGACTTCCGGTCATTATCAGCAGTGTTTCAGCGTTGAATCAGCCAACGCAAAAAAGACTTTTGGGATAAAGGACCCTGTCGAATAAGGTGACTTATAAAGAATTTAGGAACCAAATATACCATGTTGTAGAGCAAGTCGAGGCGCGTCGAATGGTATATCGTAAATCTTGTTTTCATAAGACTTTCAAGAAACTAGAGTCAATTTACTAGTATATGGCCATTAGCCCAAAACATGACTAATTACTGATCATTGTGGCTCTTAGTATCAGTCGAACGTGTTTGTAAAAAAATTTTCGTCTATACAGTTTTGTGGAGATTTTCATGGGCTACAAGCTCATATACTTAAAATCTCCGATTATCCTATCTTTGATAGGAAAAAATGCGATTTTTCAATGATTTATCACTGTTTTTCAGTAATGGTGAGTCTCCGTGTTTCCAATAGTATCGATCATAGAAGACGCACCCACGCGCCAAACTTTCTCAGAAATTACCCGCGATGTAGCACTACAAAACACACTATATGAAAGTTTTCGAAAATGGGCGCATCACCTCTAAAATTGCCTTGCATTCAAAAATTTTAACCGATTTTTACACCAATTTTCCTCTTTTAATACTAAGCTTCGACATTTTGACTATCAAAAGTTGATTTTGATGCGAAATAAACATGATATTCGTAATCAGCATTAAAAACTACATCGAATAGCTTATATTTTAACTCAATATTTTTTCCACCAAAATTTGAGCTGTACTCCCTCAGCCATTTTTTCCTAAGGGTGTGGGTGTCGGTGTGGGGTGTGGGTGTGGGTGGGTGTGGGTGTGGGTGTGGATGTGGCTGGCTTGGTGTGGGTGTGAATTCATGTGGAATGTGAACCACATCCACATCCACACCCACACCCACACACTCATACCCACACCCACACCAACACCCACACCCACACACCCACACCCAGCCACCCCACCCACACCCACACCCACACCCACACCCACACACCCACACCCACACCCACACCCACACCCACACCACACCCACACCCACACACCCACGCCCACACCCAACACCCACACCCAGCCACCCACCCACACCCCACACCCACACCCTAGTTTTATTGAAGAGGAAGATATTCTTCACAATTTCGAAAAAATCGACAATAATAAACTAAATTTCTCCTCATATTTCTCTTTAATTGGTACATTTTTAATGATAATAATGTCACATAAAACAATAACAACACAAGATATATGTATATTTTCAACTATTTTACAAGATAATATTATTGATAAGAACATAAGTAATATGCCAATACTAAAAGATTTTATTGATTTATTTCGTGATATTATGCATATCGAATTTGTTAAAAAAATATATTTGGAATTAATTAATGATGAAATTGGACCAGCAAATGCTATTGATGATATTGTTTTTTCAGGTAAATAGAATCTTTTAAAAACAATCAGATATATCTTTGCAAAACAGAAATAGATTTTTTTTCCAATGCTCTTTTAAATATCTATTTCATAAATGAAACTATTTAGATTTTGAGTGTAAATTCTATATGAAGGTTTTGATTTTTTAATTAAGACATTATTAATAGTACAATCGAAGAAGCTTTGGAAAAACGTGGAATTTCATTTGGAAACTTATCCACCTGTTATACAGCAATTACATGTTTCGATCGAACCTTAATCATTAACAAAAACATTATTTTATTACGATTAATTGATAAAGTCAAACGATTAAGCGACCATACAGTGATGTTAGGTGGATTATTGATCACTGTATTACATGAATTCTTTCATATATTAAGACGAACAATTATTAAAAAGGCATTTAATCCTTTTTATGAACGTACACTACCAAGAATAATATCATCACGTAGTAACATACTTATAACCGAAGGAGGTCTTCAATTAGAAGATAAATTATTTGGCACCATATATCAAACAATAGGTCATTTAGATGGAATGTTTTTATTGAATTACAATAATTGGAAAAACAAGAATCACGATGATTTCAAAAAATGTTTCAATGATATGAAAACTCGTGATTTAGATACAAATTCAATATTTAATCGTTGGATTTTACCTAGTAAAGGTAGTCCAATGAATAATAATGATAATGATGAAAACAATATTGAAGAAACACCCAAAGAATCTTCACCATTAGACAGATTAAATTTACCTGGTTGTGTTCTTGCGGCATCTTGGTATCAATTTCAATCGTAAAACATTCTTCTAGATAATTATGTAGCACGAATTTTGTGATGTTTATTTGTTGAAAAAGAAATTCTGAACATTGTCATTGTGAAATTAAGATTAGAAATATCTTGAGATATTTGAATTTTCTCTAAAATAATAAAACACCTTTTACTGCTATGGTACTCTAATTTCTTGTATGTTATTTACTATTTTGTGAATAACATTATCTATTATATTACTCTGAGAACAAGAATTATCAATTCACTTACCTAGCATAAGATTAGTTGTGCGATTTGAATATAGATATTTTAATAATTAACTTTGTTTCATCAAAATTAGCTCACTCTTTACATTTGCGGATATCATCAATAAAACATGGGAAAATGATCTATTTTTCATTGAATATGACCTATATTCCTTTGATTCAACAAGAACTGTTAACTAGCAACTACTTAGAATTATATTTAATAGTAGCTTAAATGATAAAGACATGTTTTTGACATACATTGAAAAAACTGTGATCTTGAATCGAATTTTTTTGCATTTTATTGTATAGAAGATGCATTAAGACAACTGTAGTTAAATGACATATAATGTTCGACACATTCGCCATTTTTTGTTTTTTTACTCACAAGAAAAAAAACTAATATCATTCAAAAGTACCTGCATTACTAAACCAGACCAATGTTCAAATCCATCAGTGGTTTGAACTATTGTATGGTAGAGTTTAGGTGTGGCTGTGAGTGTGGGGTGGGTGTGGGGTGTGAGTGTGTAGGTGTGGGGTGTGGGTATGGGTGTGGGTGTTGGGTGTGGGCATGGGTGTGGGTGTGGGTGTGGGTGTGGATGTGGATGTGGGTATGGGTGGGTGTGAGTTAAGAGAGAGCCTACACTTCACACCCACACCTTTGCTGCTCAATAATAAATTTGTCAATTTTCTATTCATCAATAAAAAATGACTCCTATTTGTCTAATGCATGTGTTTGGATATGTGACACAACAATTGAGTTCTCGACAATTGAGTCACGATAGATAGACCCTGACGGATGAGCTATGACAAGGATAACAACATGTACATAAGAATGTTATTCACGTGTGAAACTTTTCCAAGTTTTAGTCGAAGCTGATTGAAATTTAAAAATAAATTAAATACTGGTGTAGAGAGATTTCAATTTTGTTGAATTTAAGTTAAAATATCACTGTGACCTTTTTCAGATTACTGGTAGCTTTTTAGCTCAACACTTCACTGGTTACATTGTATGTACGGTAGAATTGTTTTAAATTTTTGTCTCGATGCTGCCGAACTTGTTGGAAACTTATCATTTTGATTTTTTGCACCTTTACAGAGGATGAAAATAGATGTTCTGGTATAAATTATATACGAAAAGTTAGTTCAATCGTTGCCTTAATTGCAACTACAACCATACTCTTCGCGCTACTGTATTCAAGTGATATTCTAATGACTCGTATATTAGAGAAGGAAAACCAGCAACTCACAAATCAAGAAACTGGTAGCGTTCAGATACGTTTTTGAACTTAGGTATCCAATGTGAAAAATTAAATCACTCGACGATCGTATTTATGTCAATACAATACATTCGATACGAATTAAAATTCTGTTGAATGATCATTTCAGGCAGGAGTAACAAATTGATGGGTGCAAAGTCGAATACTGATCTTCTTGATCATTGGTGAAAGTAAATGGTGTGATCCATATCGAGCTCGTCTGGGTTCGTCAAATTAGTCAACATCGTGAGAAAGTCATGTAATCATTTGATACGAAACTTGAGATTTGCCGGTGTGTTCAATAAAGACATGATTTGATCGTTCATTTGAGAGAGAAGCCGTATTCGAACACCGATTGAATTCTAGAAGGATCATGACACATGTTTTCATTGAGATTCTTTTCTTTTGCATGCACTTTTCTAATAATCATTTGCTTCAAATTGATGTTCAAATGACGCATATGACCGATTCAATATCATACATCACTCAGTCAATATCGAATTTCGTCAAGTCGATTCGAGATCAATTTTATCCTCGAGATTAAACAACCAAAGCATGAGAACGCCGTCTATTGTTGTTCCATTGCAGATAGACAAGTGAAAGCAAATGCTTCAAGTTTATTGAAGATTTAAAATCAACAAAGGTCGATGGCAATCTAATGAAGAAACAAAATCGATAGATGAACACAGGAGTTCCATCTATCGCATTGCAGAATATCTTATCTTGAGCAGTGAACAACTGATTGATTACTATATTCCACTTGTGTCTCCATTAGGCTGCGAATTCTAACTTTGCTAAATACTCGTCTGAACAAGAGTGAACAGTAGACAAGTAATATCACGTCGAACTGCACAGATGTTCGATCAAATTCTACGAAAATAAGGGAACATATGGTTTTTTGAGTTTGAACTTGGTTTAGATCATTATCGACGATTCAGTCAAGTATGTCATCAATCGAAGTCAAACGTGTCGACTAATATTGAGCATTGAAAGGAAGAATTTGGTTTTCTCTTATGCCTTTGTCATCGCATTGAAATGCTTAGCGCAATTATACTACAGAACGACACCAAATCGCAGATTCGATCAAAATCAAGTTTTGAAATAAAATGGTGACACAGAACCATATGCATTGCATCATTTTGCAAATGTTCGCTGAGAACTGACGATCGTTTGACCAAATGACTCCTGTATGAAACAAAACAATTAAGTGTTCACTGTTGAGTAGTGAAACTGCAAGTTGCTGTCATTGCTGACCTGTTTTCATTCTTGATTTATTCTCAATACAACGAAATCTACATTAATGTGAAATAGATGGTAAGAAAAGGTCTTGAGATTTGTAGATCTGACAATTAGTGGCGGCTCCACGAGGGGGCTAGGGGGAGCTGAGCCCCCCCCCCCAGAAAATTTAAGTAGGGGCTCAGCCCCCCCAGTCTGAAAATTCTGGCGCCGCCACTACTGACAATATCTCTAGAAAACTACCCATGAACAGTGGGGAAATTTTGCATAAGCAGGCGGACATGCAGTTCTTTTGCTTAAGATTGGCTTTCATTTGACTAGAAATGACAGTATACGACTCAAACAATCAGTTTTAAGAAAATAAAACGGTTTTATACGGAACAAATTTCTTCGAAAAAATATGACTGCAGGACCTCAGCCTATTTTTTTGAAAAATGCTTTTTTGAAAAACATGTTGAGCTACATATTATTCGATGTAGTTTGATGCGCTGATTCTGAATATCACCTTATTTTTTCTTGAAACTGTAACATGAATACCTAAAACTGGATTTTTCGGTCAACAACCTGTATCAGTTGTTTTCCGCCAAATTCAACCAAAAATTGACTTTCACAAAAATGCCTCTTTTTATTCATATGGCACTACAAAAGTTTTTTTCGCCCAGCTCTTCTAAAAGCCTCTTTGTTTTTTTAAATAAAATGTACCATGTGATAAATAAGAAAAAATCACGTTCGTCGCACATGAAGACAAATACGTTTTTTTTGCAGCGTCGAGTTGTGATCATTCAGAATTTTGTCGATTTTCAAAACATAAATGCAACTGTTAAATACGCTGTTTTTTGTAATTTGTAGAGTTTTTCACGCTGCATCTTATGATATATTTTGTTTTTGGTTTAATAGAGGGTATCAGGCAAATCAAAGATGAAATAAGAAAAAAACGAATTCGTCTTTTATCAAAAAAATATTGTTTTTGCAGCTTCAAAATTTGATTGTTCAGAAGTTTATCGATTTTTTAACACAGAAAATGCAACTATAGTATTAGTTGTTCTATGCATACTATAGAGCTTTTCACGCTCCATCTTCTGCTAGATTTCGATATTTTAATAAAACATATTTAGGAATCAAAAAACGAAAAGCAAAGTTCTCCTATTTATGATGAGTACTTCGTTA